AATTTATTTAAGGTGGTGGAATGTCCCCAAACCTGACAATTTTACAAAAAGACTGTTCCTTTGTTCTGTCCACTAAAACAGACATCTTCTTCAGAGCTTTATCTTTAAACCTCAAAGTTTTCTATTCTGTGGAAGCAGAGAGTTTTACTCTCAGAGAGACTCAGAGCAAGGAAGGATGTTGGTCACAGTTATGCACCTAATACAGTCAGCCTAGTGTGCAGTTCTTCACACCACCTTTGCCACCTTCATCTCGTGTGTTTCCATCTACACTGTTGATTGCCCTTGTTAGTTACTACTCTTTTTCTGTCTGTGAAGAGTAATTGTGGCCACTCTAAAAATGAATATTATTTATCACTGTTTTTTTTTTTAATGCAGAAAGCTATTTTTAAAAAATGTTAACATGCAGCCAACACATTTGCCCAAATTCCTTGTTTATATCCACAGACAGCTGTGTGCTTACTGTGTGCTTATTCTCCTCTCTCATCCGAAAATCTGCCATAATGGTAGCTGAATCTAAGGCACCCCAGAGTTTCCCAGATTCTGCTTGACTCATTGCCTAAGTCAGAGTCATCACGGGGAGATACGGGCGTCTCCCATTTTCCTGCAGGCCAATTTTTCAGATGACTTAGTTTTCACTTTGCTTCCAGTCCACATTTGGTTATCGTCGATAAGAAAGCTGATTCATGAATCTGTAAACGTCGGCACGCATGAGCTTCTGTCTGTGCCGTTCTCGTGGTGCTGTGCAGAAGACGGCTGATAACACAGCTTCGCCTGTTTGCCACACCACCACGTCTGACTGAGTCATAATCTTTTTTGTCTTTTCTTCCCATTGTAGCAAATTGATGGAGAAGCCTTTCTGCTTATGACCCAAACAGACATTGTTAAAATTATGAGCATTAAGTTGGGCCCTGCTCTCAAAATCTTCAATTCCATCCTGATGTTCAAAGCTGCAGAAAAGAACTCTCACAATGAACTTTGAAGATGGGGAATTTGGAATACCATCAGCTTTCTGCTTTAAAAGCTCATGTTTTATTCAAAGCACAAGGACAGTTATAACTCCTACGCGAGAAGTCTCCAAAACTCCGAAGAGCGATGCTATCTGATTATTTATATTCCTCAAGAGACAATATATACGAATCCTTATGAAAGTCCTTCGGCTTTTAACCAAGTACTGTCTAACAGCGGTCATCCTTTGGTTCTGTTCACTGAGCTAAATTTATCTTTGTACATCTTTTTGAGGCTCGGGGGTGGGGGAAAGGGGACTTCGTTAATTATTTATGGTAAAAGGGGAGGTCAGAGTAAGAACTTTTGGCATTTTGTAAACATTGTTGAATTCTCTTTCATGCACACTGTTTCTTTTTCAGTACTTTCAGAAACCTTTTTATATAATCCAAGTTCAACTGAAACCAAATTAGTCAAAACCTGGCTGAGGTTTGCCAGTGGGACTGTTACCTGTATTGTTCATCTTGTGCCATATTTTGAATTGCAACATTATGCTAAGTATAACTTTGCAAGTCATGATATTGCCTAACTGCTTATCATAATTTGTTGGGGCTGGACGGTGGTAAAAATTACTTTAAATCAGTGTTTTTACTTTTGCACGCATTATGAAATGTTAAAACAAATTACTTTTCACCAGCATCTTTACTATAATTACCAAAAACATGTATATAAATAATGGAATTGAAAAATAAAATATATAAATAAATTAGGTGATGTATTTGAATGGCATCAGTCTTATACATGGTGGTGCCCTATGTATTTACAAGAGTCCAGTGGTATCAAAGGAATATGCAGTTATATTGGGGGGAGGGGGCGTTTGTAAGGATCACAATATGTGAGACGATCTCGAGCTTCTCTCTGATTGCCAATGAAGTAACTGTTGTGCTTTTCAGAGCTGAAGGGGTCATTCTGTCGACGGAAACACTAATCCATATAGAGTTCTGTCCCAGATCATCTTCCTCCAGACCCAAAGGTTTTCTTTGGGTTGGCTGAAGAGAGAGTGTATGGATTTTACTGAAAAGGTAGGGTGGGAGGGAGCAACAGTGGTCAACATAAAGCTTCCAAATGCTCACAGATCCAGGGGGCAACTTCCCAAAGCAATTATTCAAGAACCTCCATTTTGGAAAGGTTCCTTTCTCTGTAGAATGGTTCACCTAAGTTTTATAAATGTACAGATGCACTTTAAATGAAAGTCCTTGATTACCCAGAAACAGCTAGCAGTAGTGTTTCTTTTCCAAGAATGTCTTTCCAACACAAAAGGTAAATTATTTTATCAACCTTTGGATGTAATGTCTACTCCTAGGATGGGCCATTTATTCAAGGGCTATTATAAGAGTAGCAAGTAAGTTCGTAGCATGCTGTCTGAATTCTGGGGCAAGTTCCGCCTCTCTCCTTAGTTGCCCTCATTTTCTCGGATGTAGGACTTCCTTTGATGTCCCCCGTTGGGAGTCTACTAGCCGTCCTCTGCATTTGTCATAATTCAGAAGGGCCATGGCATCTGTAATGTCCCTTTCATTTCTTTGCATGAATCTGCTTAAATGAGTTTTTCGTTGTCGGGGTTTTTTTTTTCCTTTTTATGTTCTGTTCAGAATTTGTACATTCAAGTTGCACTTGTTATATCTGACATGAATGAAATAAAATCTTAATTGCAGATACTTTTTTTTACATATGTATGATTTTTTTTAGAAAGCTTGTCAAACAGGCAAATGAGAGCAGGAGCAATGTCAAAGATTTGGGCATTACCTCGCTATGTAAAGAATCTGCAGGATTCAAAATTGTCAAGCTGTGTCCCAGGTGATGCAAAGAACAACAATAAATAAGTGAGTAAATAAGTATACGCATTTTTAAAAAACTGCAAACATTGTATAAGCCAACTGGGACCTGTCTGCAGATTGGAATATAACCAAAGGATGCCATTTTGGATTCGGTAGACTCAGACTCCAAAGAAAATAGAGTTATGTTAGTCAACAATAAGAGTATTTACCAAGGGGCAGGGCCATGCTGGGGGCACTGGGGATGCACCATGGGAAGAGACAATAAAGCTTAAGTGAATTTGACCTCTCGGTCAGCTCATGTCTGCCATGTTTAGAGCCAAACCTCATGGCTGTGTTCCTACAACTCCACCCCTCCCTTCCCCAGCCCATGGGGACAAAGAGAGGCTTTCGTTGACCTTTAGCCACAGAGACTGTGTCCTTCCGAGGAAAGGAATCTGTAAGAATTTAGTAAATTCCTTTGGGAAGAGGAAGAATAAAACAGATTATGGAACTAAAAAAGTGGTGGTGGGGGCGGGGTGGGGAATAAAGGGAAGTTCGTAAGGAATGAAAGGCACAGTTCAGAGAAGGGGAAAGGGAAGAAACAGAAATCATGGAATTAGGGACTAGTTCAGGTGAAATTGATAGGAACTGATTTGGTCTTCTGCCTGTCCATTGTCACTGAAGCAGGTAGTGAATGGTCATTGTAGAGGTGGGCAGCTGATCAAATTGCATTTTCTAGCTCACTGACTTAAACATTTTAAAGAATAGTACTTACAGAGAAAAGGGCATTAGAATGAGTATTTCCAGAGATGTATGTCATATAAATATTTTTCAATAATTCATATGAATCCCTTTCTTTGTAAACTTTTAAAAAAATAGATGATGTTACCCCCAAAATGCTCATGGCATTGTGATGGAAGTATAGTACACTTAAGTCTCTTCAGTCTCTAAACCAATCCGTTCTGTCAAAACTGATAGGTTTTGTTGAAACTGTGATGATGATTATCAAGGAGCACCTCAAAACTGTAATGTTGTCATGTATCCTTATAAAATACTTGAAAAGAGTACACGGAGTCTTGTCAAACCTAAGGACTCCTTATGTACCGTCTTTAGGAACAGAACAAATGGAATGATGGCATGGGACTCTGAGCTGGGTGGATGAGGCCATCAGGACCTGGACTTCAGAGATAGGCAACAGAGCAAGTCTAGGAAGGGGCCAAGCCAAACACCGGAAACTGGTGCCCAGAAGGCTCTGGGAGGGAAAAACCAGGTCCATATTACAGACCTAACAAACCCAAACAGTAGCCAGGGCTCACACCAACACCTGACGTCAAAGCCAGGGAAAAGTAGGATGATATGAGACAAGAACGGGGCCATCACTGTGTGTCAAGTGGGGGAAGCAGTGAAAGACTACACAGGTCACAGGCGATCAAAACCTGGGCCAGCGAGATCAGCTAGCAGTGAGGAGCCATCAGGAATGAAGCAGGCTTTGTTCTCAACAAATGTGGTTGAAGGAAATCAAAATTCCTGGGACCAGGCAGGTCAGCTGGAGGAAAAAGAACTGGGGAGTATGTGCATCTTCTTAAAATGTTCAAGACCAAAATGTTTCCAAGCCATATTCAGACCAAAGAGGCAGCCCACAGGACACAAATGTACAGCTCCTGGGTATCGAGTCTTCCGAGGGTGCGCATATTAGGCCAAGTGTGAGGTGTGATACCCTAATCAAAGGACTTGAGTTATCTGAAGTGGAGGGTCTTTCAAAAACTAAAGCACCCTAGAAAGTGTAGCTCTGGGGGCACCTAGGTAACACAGTCAGTTAAGCACCCATCTCAAGGTTTTGGCTCAGCTTGGGATCTCAGGGTGATGAGATCAAGCCCTGCATTGGGCTCCACACTCAGTGCAGAGTCTGCTTGAGATTTTTTTTCCTTCTCCCTCTGCCCCTCCAACTTGTGTATGTGTGCACTCTCACTCAGAAAAAATAATTTTTTTTTTTTAAAGTGTAGCTTGGATCATTGAATTTCTTAGAACTCCAACAGCTCTTTAACATAGTATTTTATTACAGAATTTCACAAAGAATTTTCAGTATCTAAGCAGAAAGATAGAGGTACTGAAATTCATTTGCATCTTTGAGACAAGACAATTTTCTAACACCTACCTCTACTATAATGCTAAGTCAAAACAATTTTTTTAAATAAAATTTTAGATGTCCCAGAGATTAATTCTGATGCAATATTTGGCATGCCATTAAGCAACTGGGTGTTGAAATCCTACTTCCTTTTCCTTTTCTTTCATAGAAGGAAAACACGGACTGTGCATATCAAAAATCAGCGTCTCTAGGAAGTTGAGGGTTTGGGACAGTCTTCTTGGACACTCAACTCCAAATACATGGAAGGCAGCAATGAGAACAGCCAAGGCCGTAATACAGTCGTCTACCTTTGTGAGCTTCTCTTTTTCTAAATACAAAGAAAATTCGCAGACATCGACATTGAAAGGGTTCTTGACTTCTAACACGGGTGTGGAAACTTGCACCTGAAATAATAGATAATAGACTCACCACTCTGTGATGTGGATAATAGCTAAATAATAAAAGGTGCCTCAATTTAACCCTGATATTACAGTAAATGAGCTTGTCGTAGTGCAGCATATTTGTAAATATGATGAAACCGTACTTCAAAAGAGACCACCACCCTGTTTTCAAATAAATTATCATATGAAGATGTGAAACGTCAAACCCAGTGATCAGTGTCATACTGCATACCTTCTCATTCACAATGACAAAAAGGCTGGGATCATCCCCAAAAACATCTGGTAGAAGCAAACATGTGGCTGTCATCTTCAGATCTGCCAAAACAAATATGCTTAAAGTCCAAGTGAAAATAAGGTTTTGCCAACTATAAGCAAAAGCCAGTCTTTAAACATGGATTTTTGTTTGTCTGTTTGTTTGTTTAGTCATTTCCTTCTACAGAGAATAAACCAGCTTTATTGCATCAGTGTTTCACAACTATTTAACCAACATTGCCATCCAATAAAAACCGGATCTCATGTTCTGCCCTCCAGGTCGTGGCCGGAAGATAAGAGCCCTGTACTCTCTGTCCATCAGCTAGGAAGATTTTAGCATGCTTTACCTCAGGATGTGTATTATGACACTAACAGCTAACTAGTTCCCCTAAATATAATTTTACAGGATCAAGTGTACTTTTAATTCTGTACCTCAACTTGCCCTATTTGAAAATCTTTTCTATCCTGCATGTTGTTTCACTGAATTACTTATTTCTAAAAGAGAGCTTTTCTAATTATCCCAAATTATCCAGGTAACTGAGACCAGATTGCCCGAGACCCAAGTTTACTAACGTTTCAACATTTCTTCATCTGTGTGCTGTTTCATTTTTTCTTGCAATGCAATATTGATTGGATTGTCCATCACTGAAAAAGAAGTCAGTATATTTTCTGAATAGGTTTCCAAAATGTGCTTTATTTTCTTATAAATATCTGTTCTCGTAAGAAGCTGGAATTCTCTGAACATCTAGGAAAAAGAAGAAAAAATCACAAAAGCTAATGTATAGAATGTAAGAAGTAAATAACTCTTTAGGCTTATATTAAGCTTTGAATGCTAGTTAAAAATTTATACAAGGTATCTGAGTAGCTTTAGTGGAGGAGTAAAGACTTAAAGACAGAGGAGGGGGAAAAAATCTGAAATGAATAGGATAAAGAAGATAAATAATGGACAGAGCAAACTTCTATACCCATAGAATTAAAACTTTGCACAGACTCAACTAAATGAGGGTTCCAACGATATATGTGTATTTTGGCTATTCGGCTTCCAGCTAAGATTCTAGGACCTTGTATTTCTTTAGGTGGTGTGCAACAAGAGGCAAAGTAAGAGAACTGTTAGATTTTAGGAAGCAAAATTTTAAAAATACCTAACCATAGTGTTCGAAAGAGGAGAGCTTTAGAGACAAAAGTAAGTGACGAGAAACAGGTGTAGGCAATCTGATTACAAAGTAAAAGCAAAACCAGTTTACATGTATGGGAACCCCTTTACTCAAAACCACCTTTTCCTGCCACTCCCAATTTCTCCCCGTCCGAGAATTCCACCACAACTGGAGCCTCCCCACTGTTTTTTTAATTAAACATTTTTAAACGTTAAATTCAATTAATTACATATAATGTATTACTGGTTTCAGTGGTACAGGTCTATGATTCATCAGTCTTATATCCAGTGTTCATTACGTCACATGCCCTCCTAATGTCCATCACCAGTTACCCCATCCCCCTCACTCCCCTCCCTTCCAGCAACCCTCAGTTTGTTTCCTACGATTAAGAGTCTCTTATGGTTTGTCTCCCTCTCTGTTTTCATCTTGTTTTATTTTTCCTTTCTTCCCCGGTGATCCTGTTTTGTTTCTTAAATTCCACATATCAGTGAGATCATGTGATAATTGTCTTTCACCGACTGATTTATTTCGCTAAGCATTATCCCCTCTAGTTCCATCCACATCATTGCAAATGGCAAGATTTCATTTTTAATGGCTGCATAATATTCCATTTCTGTGTGTGTGTGTGTGTGTGTGTGTGTGTGTGTGTGTGTGTGTGTGTGTGTAC